GGCCGCATAGAAACCGGTGGTCCAATATATAAATAGTATTATAGTACTATAGCACTATAGTGTTATAGTATTATAGTACACTATAATGGCTAGTACTATATAGTGCTATATAATATATAATACTAATTAATATAGTACTTCATAATACTATATAATATATATTATATCATATAATATAAAATATATAATTTATAATGTAACAAAGAAGGGAGAGTGCCAAGGTGTAAGCCTTTGCCAAGGCGCCTGCCTTGACCAAGGCACTAGGCGCCAACCTAGAGGCACCTCCACCTAGAGCACACCTAACCGTTTTTAAAGCTGGCCGCCTAGACAGTCAAACGGCTGAATTTACTCAAACTCAACCAAGTTACTGAGTCTTGGTCTCAAGTTTGGCTGGGCACCAAGCCCGAAACTCCCTCAAATTCACAGGGTATATAATTCATTATAGTTCTTTTATAATTGATTTAACCAAAGTTAAATCAGTTATATTAAATTGCATTTCGTTTTGTTTATATTTTTTATGGCTTTATATTTTCTGAAAATTCTCATTTTTCAGAAAAATTGGTTTTTAACCAGTTTTCTACTTTTATATTTTCTTAAGACTTTTTCCTCGTCTTTTATATGCTTTTTCTCTTATTTATCATTTTTTCCTTAGTTTTTTCCATCTTTAAGTATTTTTTTTCTTATTTTTTTGGGTTCTTTAGGTCATTAGGCTGCTCAATGTAGAGCCCGGCGGTTTAACTCAGACTCACCAAAGTAACAGGGGCAGGCCAGGGGCCAAGTTCTGTGGCTGAACCAATTTTCAAAACACTGGTGCAAAGTTCTGGTTAAGAAAAGAAGCAACGGGTAATGCAATTTATTTAATGGAACAATAAAGAGAGTCAAACAAGAAAGTAGCTTGGAATCAATCAATCAATGCTAGTCCTTTGAATAGTTAATGTCTACCAGAAGGTTCGACAGGAAAGACCACAATAGGATGAGATCTAATAACCCAATCCTGCTGTGTCTACCCAAAACAAATTTTTCTTACAAACATCAATCGAATTCCGGCCAAATTTGAAAATGTCATTACGCAAACATCTTGTTTCAGCCTTAGCTGCCATACATCATGAATTTCAGACAGACCAAGATCGGAATGAACTCAACCTGGAAGTTGTTATTTATATTCAGAAGGTGTTGTTTTCATTTTTTTTAATTGGGATGCAAAATTCCGCAAAAAATGCCCATTGTGGAGGGTTTTCTTCTAATAAAATTCAAAATAGATCTCATAAGAACATAAATATCAATGACAGTTTGTCCGAACTCCAAAATTATCAGTGCCCCAGGACAAAGCCACTCCAAAATCTGAAAACCTAAGCCTTGCAAAAGACATAAAGTAGAACTTACTTGAAGCATGTAATCAATCCGACCATCTCGACTTCCGGTCAGTCTTTCCATCATAAGAGATCCATATGTTCTTGTCTCAGGTTCCACAACATCTTGTATCTCTGCTGGTAACATAGTCATATTACATTAAGATACAATATGCTAAAAGAAATTTGCATATGGGAATTTCTAATACCTTGCTTTTTACCCTTATTTCCTGGTTGAAAAACATTGACCATACGGACCTGATGAAATAATTCAATAGTTCTCTTAGAAGTAGAATTTCACCAAAATAACAGAGCAAAACAATAAACGGCATAAAGACTAAGTTAGACTAGAAGAGATATATTTAACTGTAGCTCAATTTGTAGAGTGTTGCATCTATGTAAGTAGGACGCCAACGTCCAAATCCCTACCCTCAGAAAGCTTTTATTAGCTTAGTCAACAATGTTTTTCTTTTTATTTATTTTTTTTTAAAAAAAAAGGCACCCCAGACATTTACAGGGCCAAATACATCATAGGTTCCAGAAAGAACAGTATCAAACAAAATATTGAGATACATAGCTTACCCTCATAGAGTTGAGGCGACTCGTAAGGGCCTGAGAACGTGCAGCGAGATCCTCGGTGAACTCCTGCATGATAATTTGTACCTTAAATGATCACATTTCTCTCACAAATACCTAAAGGCTCTGCTGATGATGTTTTGAAAACAGACACACGCTCTGATGATGATGATTTGAAAACACACACACACACGCTCTGATGATGATGATTTGAAAACACGCATGCACACAGACACACACATACACACCCCACGCACGCACACACACACACACACACACACATGCACACACACCACCATGCATGCACAGAGAGAGACAGACATGCACACACGCACACGCACGCGCATGCGCACACACAGAGGCACCCACCACACACACGCAGAGAGATAGACACATGCAAACAAGCACGCACAAGCACATGTGCTCCCACACACACACACACTAACATAACACACTAAATAAAAGCAGCATGTCTCTCTCAGACCGAGTGCAACCACAATAGTACTCACCTGAAATCCAATATGTATCCTCTTTCCACCCTTGTGATAAGGTATGATAACAGGACGCTTGCTGGTATATTCTTTGCAGACCAGTGGCTCTACTCTGTATGAAAGCCCATCCTAGATTCATATAATGTATTCTCATTCCAAAGTAGAACTTTTAAAACCAAACTAAGCATGGAACTAATATCCACAGAGACAGGTCGCACAGTTCATGTACATACACTAGGCCAAGAGCATGTAACATGAAAAGCCATATCACCCCGAACGATACATTCAACCACACATGTTTAAAACTAAAACAATGTGAACAAACCTGTATGCCACAGGATCAAAGGGATGAAAGACATTAAACATTTTTGAGCAGGCAGGCATCTGCTCAGTTATTCCTTCATCTTGCCAATATTCTTCGCCTTCACCTGAAAGAGGCATATCTCATTCTTTGTAAGTTCTACAAATCCACAAATTTTACTACTAATATGCCACTGCAACTGCGAAAAAGGTGTCAAGCGTTCACTTCTATGAACTAGGCATGTACTTACTTGGAAAAAGGGAAGTCAAAACTGAGTTTCAAGTAAATAGGACGTGTGATATGAATTGCCAGATAGTTGGATGTAAAGAAGAATTTAAAGATAAAGCATAACCATTTCAGGTCCAAAATCCCAAACATTAACAATAAAAGCAATTTATCGTTACCATTACGTACTATTCGAATACCAAATTATAAAAGAAATTTATTTTTCAAAAAATAAATATAAGGACTCATAAAATAGTAACACACTAGATACATAAGTACATATATACATACATAGTAACATACATATATACATATATAGTAACATAGATAAGAAGAGAGAGAAATAAGACACCGAACTATGCATCCATACATTGCATAATTATAAATGTGAACTTTTTCTTTTGGGTAAGTAATTTATACATGTGAACTTGAGTGTACCAAAATACATGTGCACGCTGTGCCTATAGGCATGCAAGGACACATGTGAATGGACACATACATTCATAATGCTTGTACGCGCACACGTTTATGGAATTCTGAATGCAGAAGAAGAGAAAAAGGAGGTGCAAAAGAAAGAGAAGGGAAGAAACCCACAAATTTCGAATGAGCCAAGGTAATTTTGCTCGGGGGCAAGTCCAACCCAAATTTCAATTTCCTGGTATTTTGATATGGAACAGTACCGGATGGAAAGGATAAAAACCAAGGTACTGGTCATGCATGAACATATACTGGTCAAGCATGGGAAAATTTTATTGATTGTCTAGAGCAAAGTTTCACAATCACTAACCCATCCCGATCCGAATATTGCGGAGAGCAAGAAACACACCAAGAGGTGATCCAACAGCAAAGAACGTGTCAACCTGCTAGACAAGGCACGTGTTAGGGGAATATCTGCAGCGGATAGTAGCAATAGAAAGGACAAAATGGCTTGACTGTCAAGAAAAAAAATTGATATGGTTGAAAACTGAAAGGGAAGGATTAAATATCCTAAACAATACAAAATCATCCCAGAGCCCTGCAGCAAGGTGCAAGGGAATGGAAACACCATGCACAAGTGAATACCTTAAACTCCAGTTTTGTGTACTTGATATAAGGAGTGCAACTCTTTCTAGAATCAATTAGATCTGGACTCTTCTGATCCAATGGTGTAACTTCTGGGGCTACATTTTCCAGTTTATCTCCTGTTATGTAAGGCCCACTTTATAATAAAAGTCCAAATAAAACAATCCACTTCTGCAAACTAAGGCATTTTCATTACTATAAGAAGTATCAACAATGCAAGGACTCTTCTCACCTTGAAGGCAATCTGAACTTTTAGCTTCTCCAGTACAAAGTAAATTTCTCTCTCTTGATTGTAGTTTCACCACAAGAGCTTTGAGGGACTCCACCTGCATGTATGGCAAGCAGGTCAACAATCAAATCAATCAATTCTTGAGTTTCTTCTTCCTATTCAAAGAGTAGAATCTGACAAAACAAAGACCAAGATATAGATATAGAGATCATTCTGCAAATCACCAGCATCAGCATGGACACCTTAGAACTATGTATGACTTGCCGAATACAAAAGCATAAACCCCAAAACGAAATCCCACCCCTTGGTTTGGTAAGTTCATGTGCGTAAAAAGTAAAAGTTCATGAAAACTGAACTCTTATATACCATGAATCTATGGAATTGGACTTCGTCAATGTCCAACTTCAAAAACTTCTTCCAGTTTCTAAGGTCCTATCGTAGTATTTTTGCATAATCTATTGGCAGCTATACCTTCTTGTGACATAGTAAATCACTTATGGCATCTGATCAAGTTTCCAAATTAGTTATATCAAAATAAAAACCAAGACCATAGGCATACAACAAACCCTACAACTCTAACCCAAACACACGACTGTACACAAATATAGTAGGAAAGGTACATTGATTTAGTAAAAAGAAAACCACTGATGAATGAATGCAGCTGAGCTTTATGGGATATTTTACCACAATACGAACGTGTTTATTATCTCCCTAAATTTTGTTTTCTAGCCTAACAAATGTTTTGTTTTTCACCATTTACACTCTTCACCATGTCCAGGTTCTTGTGAAGCGGTGCCAATATCTCAATCAATGTTTGTAGGAACCTTAGGGATAAGTCCACAGTTGCACCTTAGAAACTTGATCACACAGTTCCTCTAAGGGATCTTAGAGGGTGTTGGGTTTAAAGAAATAGACATCTCGCTCCCAATAAACAGGATCTCCGTCAACATGCTTGTAGTATCCCTCCAAGGAGATGAGCTATACTATTAATTACAACACTGCTCCTCTCCTTGGTATTATAGATTTATTTCTTTAGAATATGTTAAATTTGAGTTGCCTATCACATTGTAGTATACTAGAATTATGATATTAAAAAATTACAGCTTAATATCATAGTAAGTTAATTTATGATATTGTTAAATTGCATTATTGCACTAAATTGAAGTATTATAACTATGGCATTGGTGATAAGCTAAGCTGTATATAATGGATCAGACAGGCGTTGGCCCGATTATCATATACTATTAATTTTATGTATAGTTGAGCTTAGATCCCTCCAAGTCAAAACCTCGAGCACAATGACATGGGATCTCACTTCCAGGTATCCTAGAATCTAGCTCCTCAACTTGTTGAACGTACGGATGCCAATCCCAACCCCAGGGAGCTTTCACCCTGTGGCAGTTCAGCATTCCCCAAACAGATCCCGCTCCCGCTCCCTCCTCCAACAACTATGTCTCAATCAAACAACAACTATGTCTCAATCAAACACATATACTTTTTACTAAAAGGATGGCGTTCTAAAATGCATGTGTAGAAAATTCCAAAAATAAGACCCGCATGGACAAAATTGCACTCAGAAAATACAACTAGGAAGGTAGCTCAGTTTTCATGGCAATACAGGTAGTTATAGGTCATTAATTACCTCATCTTTCAACATGGCCATTAATTTGTCCTTATCACCATTGTCCTCAGGTCTATCAACCAACTTTGTGCACAGAACTTTGGCCGATCGATCGCTCATATCACCCATACCCTCTACATTCTCTAGGGTGTCTTCCTCCAACAAGGACGCAACATTCTGTTGCTCTGTATCCAGAGTCTGTTGCCTAGAAACATGAAAATTCTCTTCTATTTCAGGATGTGATCCACAAGACCCAGGCAAACCTGATCCTACATCTAATGTCAGAGAAGACTCTGAATGAGCAGAAAACAAAGTCGAATCCCCCTCAAGGTTAACAAAGGATTCTGGGAGTGAACTAGGATTATCCTCCCTATTTGCAGAATCTATCGTCTCCGACAACCTTCCATCATTTCCTATGCCAGTTGTTTCATCTAAATTTAACATGTTACTGAATTGAGCTGCTTGATTAGAAGCATCAGCTGGTAAGCCTTCATTTTCTACTGACGCATTGGAAATATACTCCATTGGAAATGGGGAGGACAAACTCTCTTGATGGCAAAGAATATCATAGGAGAGAACACTACCCAATGAATGGCCGTAAATTGAAACCTGCACAAATTTGAGAATATTAACACATGTTCATAAATAAATCGGAATTTTTGAAGCAAAGAAACGAACAGGCATTTTAAATAAATACCTTCCCGTCATAACCTGGATTCCGCTTAATAAACTTTGAATATAATCTGTTTAATTGGTTAGAGACCTACAAAGAAAGAAACATTGTTATCAGCAAACAGGAAACTTAGAGACGATGCAAAGAGCAACCAAGAGGACACCAATCATATGAAAAGAATTGATGGAAGTCCTCATAGTTCAGAGTAAAACAAATAAAATTCACATGACAAGCTGCACATATCCCAGACATCGAGTTATACAGGAGTTTAGAATGTTAAAATGGGAAAACCCCAATTATGCCACCTTCCTTTCTGTCTATGTCAAATTTGCCAACTTGGTTTGATCATATTGCAAAATAACCATCCAACTTGTTAGATTGTCTCATATATGCCATCTTTAAATTTTTTCAACGATTCTTCCACACATTCCTCCCTCAATAGTTCACACAATTCCATATGTCTCCTTTGTTCTTATAAATGGGTACCACAGTACTTTTTCTCTATTTGTCTGATATTTTCTTTGTTCTCAACACCTTGTTGAACAACTTGGTCAGCCATTCAGTGTCGATCTCCCCCATGCTCAGTCTACTACACGTTCATTTTATTACCATCTTTCTCGACAAAGTTGAGTCAGCATGAGTTAGGACATAAATTCATTGGACTAGAAGTACTTTGTTATACCAGCCTGTCAATTTCATCTTCAGATACAAATGGATGACAAACGAAAACAGAATAATTGAAGTTGTACAGCGAAAGAATTGAATGAAACCGAAAAAACAAAACAACATATAACAACAAATTTATAGGGGATGAACTGTACCGAATTTATTCTCGAATGAAAAACAGAATAATGATGTTGTACAGAGGAAGAATTCACTGAAACTGAAAAAACAAAACAGCAAATAATTAAAAAGATTAGGAATGAACCGTACCGAATTTATGATGTCCTGGCAATAGATGGGACTCATGTAATATAGGACATCATGAACAGTGGCACTTAACATTATACGCAAACCCCGGACCCCTTCCAATGTGATTTTCTCGACAGCTGCTTCACCGCCTAGCTTTAAAACCCTCCTCCACTACAAAGCAAATGAACTTCCTAAGAATATAAAATATAAAAACCTGCCTCACAAATCAAGATGATTTCATACATGAACATCGATAAATTAATAAAGTAAAGAAGGGCACCAGACTTTAAAATGACTCGTGCACAATGAATGAACGTAAGATGCATAATCAATAATCAAAATAACTAATAGTTTGTGCTTCTCCTGTCAGAAAGCTTCAGGAAATAAAGTTGGGAAGAAAAATCGCAAATTATTTAAAAGAAAAACATCATTAAAAGGAACCCACTAAGAGCCATGTCAAGATAGCTAAGCATATCTATGTGAAAATCAGAAGCAAGCATGCCAAGGACATAGGCAGACTAGTGGAAACTTCAGAATGGTAACGGTCCACAGGAATCATCCTTTTTTGTAGCATATGAGAATGAAAGAGGAGCCATAACTGCAGCCAGAAGTCCATAGAGATAGAATGTACTGTAAATCTTATAAGAAGTAAAATAAGGATCATATAACCATTTTAACATCCCAGAGGAGGCTGTGATAAATGCACAGTTTGATATATTCACTCATACTGTGTAATATGGTGAGATTTTATGAAGCTTTTTGTTCTAGAAAACTGATTATGAGAAATAAGATCCCTGGCTGCCAGAATCTTGCATATCTGGTCCATTTTCTTTTTAAAAATATAGATCAGAGCTTGGCAGTGGCACAAAGTCCTTCTTAAAGGCCATCATTCTGTCAAAAGCACATTTATCAATGGATTTTCAGGGGATCATCTCACTAGTATTTGCTAAATTGCATACTCATTTATGTTTGAGTTTAGAAATCATTTGTCCAGGCAAACGCAAGGAGCTAGGCATAAATTCCAACAGCAGTAAGGTTAATCCTGGACCACAAATGACATCTTGACCGCTAAAAATCAACTTCTTCAACTCCATAACGCAATAATTATACAAAATAGGAACAATCCCATGACACACCACAAACGATAAGAACAGTATGTTACTTGTTAAACTATCTTCACAATGTACCATGTATGATAATCCAGCTTGGAGAATAGAATAGTCATTTTAGAACAAACTAAGCCACTCCCCATGCATGGCACTCTGACAACTAATGAGAGAGGGGGAATAGGGGTAGCAACGGGTCAGGTATGGGTCGGGTCCAGCTGGACCCGTACCCATACCCGGGATAGCCTATGTGGACCCACCCGACCCGGACCCGTACCCGACGCTTGCCAATAAAAAAGTTTGAAAATAGGCCACGTCATTGCCTCAAGCACCCTCATGCCTCTGCTTTTATAGATCTCAACCTACTTATTTTTTTAATTCCCATCGATGTGGGACTAATGTTAATAGACAACAGCCTCTCTCTCTCCTTACACTTTATACTTTGCGGAAAAGGTCCACTTTTTGCCCACTCCCATTATACTTAATACTTACTTTTTGGGAAAGGTCCACTTTTGCATGTGGGAAGTGCCTGCATGCCTGATCACAACCGTACACGTGGATCTTGGAGCACACTTTTTGGTCAGGGCCTGCCTCTCCCTTCCCATGCTTAAAAAGATTATTTTTATTGGTTATTGGCTAGTTGGCTTTTTTCTACATATTCCTTTGGGTCGTAGGTGGGAGGGGTTAGAGAGAGAGAGAGAAAATTGTGGTTGCTATGTGGGTTGAAATAAACCTTTAGTCCCACATCCAAAGATTTGGAAAGGTAATATGAGGGGGGGTTTACTATAAAATGAAGGATGGTTTTCTAAAACACTGGGAAACTTCAAGTCCCGGGTCAGGGCGAGTCCACCACTACTCGTACCCGTACCCGTACCCAAAAATCTTCGGGTCCGGGTCCATTGCCAGCCCTGAGGGGGAGGTTTAATAGAGGGGGAGGTTTAATAAACTCTGGACCAATTAAAATATTTAGAAAGGAAGAAGACATGATGATGCTCAGCTAAGGAACAAGGATGACCATTTTCTCTTTTAATTTTTCTTCTTAATTAAAGAAAGAGATAACTAAGAACTAATATAGTAACTCTTTAATAGAAAAGTTTTTATTTGAACTAATATAGTAACTCTTTAATAGAAAAGTTTTTCTTTGAACTAATATAGTAACTCTTTAATAGAAAAGTTTTTCTTCTTAAATTATCGTCTAATAAAGGAAATAGATAATTGATAAAACAAGTAAAAATCTATGCTGTAATCTTATTATTGCCATCTAGAAAAGAGGCATTATGAAGAGAGTTTGATGGAGGAACAAATATACCACGCTTTATAAGATAGTACAAAAATTAAACATTCACCGAATAAAGCAAGAAAACCTGTGTCCACATACCTGGCATGGAATAAAAAGAACTCTTTGCTTGTTGCGTTGATATGAAGTTAAATGGCGCTCAGCAAGACTAGCTGTGATATGCCGGTAAGTGGCAACATCATCTACCAAATTAGCTTTCTCCAATCTCTGACCAATACCATGAACCATAAAGACTAAATGACGAACTGGGACCTGTAAAGATTGCATGGAACACTGAGAAAGCATTTTATTTCAGAGTAAATACACAGATATAATCTTATACATGACACAAAAAATTACAAAACATAACAGGCCTGAAGCCCTTATACATTAGAGATGTCAGGTCCTGTTTACTAAAGCGAAATGATGGGAGGATTATTAACCTGAGAACAGTAATCATCCATCTCCTCCTCTTTCCGCTGCCGCAACTCATCCTACAAAGCCCATTGTTAAAATCGATGAGTTATAGATTTAAGTTATCTAACATAGGAGCATTTCAATTTCCAACATATTGAGCTATATTTTATGGCTATCTGTACGAAATGCTCAAAGGAAAACAAGTACTTGAAAGAAGAAAACACGGCATCTAGCAACCATGTTCATGACTTAACAAAAGAAAACTATGAAGCATGCCTTCTCTATATGCCCTTAATTTAAAAAAGATTATGCCTCTAAACCACAAATTTCTATGTTCAAAAGCTGAATATCAAGTTAAACAGCTATTTTTGGACAAACAAGCATGCTGACAAAAGCTGAATATCAAGTTAAACAGCTATTTGTGCACAACAAGCATGCTGACACTTATCCCAAGAAAGGCATAATCTCAACAAACAAGAGAATATAGAATAGGCAGGACAAGCCACAAATGAAGAATTGTAACCAGTGAACTCAAGGAATTTAAGAAATGGAATTTGAAAGCTGGGTCAGTTACAAAATGAGAGATCAACCTGGGTTGGTTTCAAAGATCCAGAGGGAGCAAACCCACGTCTTAGTTTTATTCCATTTCCTCCAAAACCAATAACACTAGACAAACCAGAGGTATCAATGCCCAACCAAGCCTCCCAAGTATCATCTTCACCTGTGAAGAGAGCATGCAATCCCTGAATGGACCAAAGAGAAAGTGAGTACAGAAAATTCGAACCAACTAATTAACCTAGTCTTCATTGTTACAAGCTATAAACAGACCTGGACCATCCCTTGAAGATCAACACGAGCAGCAAACTGACCTGAAGGTTGAAAGGTACGGCGATGCCAAACCTACAACAGTTATTGATTGCTAGCTAGTAAATCTCTTGTCAATCAATCTGAGATCAAAGTTTTATGCGTTATCCCAAATCTACATTAGATGTTGAACAAAAATTAAATACAACAAATGCAAAAAGTGAGAAGCAGCAATAATGCACGAGTGATGAAAATAAAGCAAGGAGATTGCAGTTCAACAACCTGGTCGTGGCAAATCCATACATCATATGCAGGATGAGAAAAAAACATAACAAGATCATATTGGAGATGCACAGGGCCAAGTAACATGAGGAGGCTTTTAACACTACATAAAACCCAGAAAAATTCACTTGGAAACAGTTGGACTGTCTAACATACTGGATAAATGAGTAAGATTAAATGGGCTAAAGGGACAAAAGGCCCAATAAGAAGGAAAAAGACAAGTCAGATTACAAGCTCATAATACATCCAAATACGACTCAACAGCACTTAACACTCCAGTTCAATGCTCTTTCAGAAGTCCACTACCTTTACCCCTCTAAACATCTCATCAAACAGTATCCAAGAGATTAAAGTCATCTTAATTTGCACAATCAACACTTCCCTCCTCAACATTTAGGTTTTTTTTGGGTAAAGCATTAACCATATCAATTGCATAGGTTCTCTCTTTCCACTCCCCTAAAAAGTCCACAAACAAAGTAACACCTCTATAATCATGGCCAGCCATTCGCAAACATCACAAAACAGTAAGAGTCTCAGGTTAGAGCTCCATAGTTGGTCACAACTCTTCAAAAAATAGCATCCCATCCACAAACTTAACAAATTGACAAGAGACTCATGTAACACAAACAGTCCAGATATGACTCAAGAAGTACTCCCTAATTCATAAGGCTGGTTGGAAAAATCACTATGACAAAAGGTATTCTACCTTCCGCAACCCATGCACACTATTCAGAAATCCAGAAACTGAAAGCCCCTATTCTAAAGATGGCTGCCAATGAGGATTAGGTCACTAACAGCTAGCAAAATGCTGCCAACCTCCAAAGTTAAGGGAATCTCCAAACCAATGTTGTCAAGGAAATGGTAGGACAGGGAGCACCATAGAAATCATTGAGAAAAGAACACCAGGAGAATTTCTCTCCTATTCATCGCCCCAGTAGAAACAAGCACACCCTCAAACTCCCCAAGAGACCATCCAGCATAAAAATGTCTCATCCCTCAGGCTCCACCCAAAACCTAGAACCTCCAAAATCCCCTGCACTCCAACCTCCTCCTCCCCTTCTCTTTCATCCCCTTAAAAATAATCAACAGACATACCACAACACTGAGACCCAAGAAGCTGTGATAGAGGTGGGTGACAGTCTAGGCTTATAAAGAAACATCATTCACGAAAAAATAATATACAGAGCTTACCTAGCTCATGTAACGTATTTTCACAATATAAAACTCAGAATAAATGACAAGAAAACAATCTGAAGAACTCATCAGACCTGCCTTTCAGAGGGATGAGCACAACATTAAAGGAAGATATCATATTTTCCTTTCTTTTTCTTTCTATTTTTTTCTTTTTGAAAGATCATCTCCCATAAAGATTTAAAAGAAGAGAGATAGAACTAATGATAATAGCAGTTATGGGGGAAAAAAAGCTACAATAAACAATAGTAAAAAAAATATAGCAAAGAAATCTATGTTTGTCAGTGTGTATGCATGTGAACAATGTTGTAGGATAGAGCCTTCATAAATGCATGTCCATTCCTTCCAATACCTGACACCTGTAAGCAAATTCCAACTGCTCAGCAACATCTTCACGCAAAGGCAACCATTCTAGACCCACTTTACGAGCAAACCAATGACCTCTTAAGACACGCCGATTTTCTCCATGCCAATAAACTGGGAAACAGTGCCGTTTAACCAAATCCACCTGCAGTAATCTATAAGTTAAGTACACAGTTAAAGTAAAGAACTTTCATGCATTAGCTTGACATTTGCAAGAGTAAAACAATTACCTGATACACTGATTCCACTCTTAGTATGAATTTTAACCCGTAACCCTAAATAATATGTAAGCTTAGCATGAATCCTAACCCTAAATGATATGTATAAAGTGAATGACATGCACCTCAAAAACAACTCTCAATGAAAGCTTCAGCCAGAAGACAATGTAAACTTATCCAGGCTTCCAATAATATGCTATAAATGGAGATATATTAGAGGCATACCAGTCTATACAATGGACAAAATGCAACGTGAATGACAATTCAAAAGTGCACTTGGTAGTATGTCATCAGCTGTAAATGGGTAGATTTAATCAATTGCATTTTAACCTCATCAATGACTTGTCAAAAGAAATCCTTCAAAATATATTTTCAGATGTAAAATGCACTTTCAGAATTAACTTTCTCCATCAATACTTTCAGATATAAACTGGGGCAAATAACCTGCAAAACCCTCATTTCCATCTGTATTTTTTACAATCCACAGTTAAGACTCAAACAGCTCCAATTACCTTTCTGGAATTACCTTTCTGGACTTTAAGGGATTCACCAAGTTGACCGGGTTAGGAGCACAGCAAGTACCAAATCTACTCCAGTTTTAACATTTGTACCCCACCCTAAAAAAAGAATACACACCTGCACAAGTAAATACATACGCGTGCATGCATATCTACCCATTTTATTCTATATGCTACATACCAGGTAGAAAACACAAAATCATGGTTTTAAAATGCAGCCGTACCACCGCATATGCGACCGCCTAATGCATTATGCGCTGGGCACCGCATCGCGACATATGCGCTTTGGAGAGATGCGCCCCCATAAGCGAAGAGATGCATATGTGGCCTCATCCTGCATGGCCCGCATATGCGGAAAGATTCATATGTGCCGCATCTCTCTGCATATGTGGCCGCATCCTGCATAGCCCACATATGCGGCCAGCGAGTGATGAGAAGAAAAAAAACCCTCGAGAAGGGGTGTTTTCAACTTTTTGAGCCCCGAAAAAGGGGGGAAGGGTTTGGGGGAGTATTAAACCCCACAAACAGTCCAAAACAGCCACATTCGTGGCCTTTATTTCATCAAATCAATCACAAAAAAAAAAAGAGTAGCAGAAATTTATTTTTGTGAAATTCTTAGATTTTCATCTTGGTTGATCTTTGGTTGTTGATTTGTTTCTTTTGGGTATTGATTTGAGAAAGTCTTGGCGAAGTTTTGACAACAAATTGAGGGTTTCAAGACTTGAGAAATGATGATGATTTGTCTTGACTTTTGAACTCTTAAATCTTCATAGACTTTTAGTTTGTATTTTGTAACTTTAAAGTTTGTGGTTACAAATTTGTGAGTTGTTGAATGTTTTATCAAGTGAGCTTCAAGTTTCTAGTTTCTATTAGGGGATAGTGGATACAAAATCTTCGACAGTTGATACTTTTGGAGTTAATGAAGAAACCTATTATCACATAAATCACCTCCATATTTTTTTCTATGCATTAACCTATTTTTTTAGATTTTTTAGAATTTTTTTATACCTATTGACCGCATCGGGGTGATCCACCCGCATCGAGCAGCATTGCCGCATCGGGCCCCCCCCAACGCATCGGGCCGCATCCCGCATTTTAAAACACTGCACGAAATTGAGACAAACTGCAACACCCATGGGCTCCTAATATCCAACCAAACCTGGAGATCTTAGGCAGGAGTGTGATTCTATTGCGAAGGTTATAGCTAGTAAGTTTTACTTCTTCCACATACGTAACATCTCACAGAGTCTTAGATAAACGTTGGATGAGCTCTGTTTTCGAGAAAACCATGCTGAGAACAAGCATTTTGTCACTTACTACCAATCAATATTTCATCCAAAATGAAATTCTAAACCTCCAACTTGACAACTTTCAAACAAGGAGAAGCCTCAAAACAATGTACACAGGGTCAGATGCACTGATTCCCTCTTTGCATGAAATACTTTATGGGACTATGTCAAATAATAAAAAGCAGGACAGACAAGCATGTGGAAGCATAACAACTACTTAATACAGATATATTTACTTTACGCAAAAGAATGGGAATTCTACAAGCAAAGACCTCCAAAAAGCTATGAAACTACAGCCTAACTCCTAGTTCTTCCAGAGCAAGGAACCCAACCTCCACTTATTGTACGACGGAGGAGAAGCAGTCTACATCATGGCTTTCAACTGAGTAGCTCTATCCCCACATTACACAATTTCATGACACAACAATGACAACAAACACAACAATTACTAAATGTTGAGTTAGAATATCTCAATAAACTCCTCACTAATGACATTCAACAACTATATTTTGCAAGCTAACATTGACTGCTATATTTTAAAGCAAGCTATCTTCTATTTCTAACGATGACCTATATCCTTAGCCAATCATCACATGTAAAAGATGTTTCATAAATAATTTGTTATATCCTTTGGAATTTACACAACTATCACAACTCCCATCAAAAGGAGGATAGTCAAACATTTGAGATTGACAATAGAAAGTTCAAGACTACCAAGTGTTCCCCTTATATTTGTGGAGGCGCACTATTAAATTGGTGTGCTAGAGCCAAAAAGCCTATGGGAATAAGTAGCAACATCACATAACTAAGAATAATTAGAAAGCAAGAGACAGATTAAATGTTTAAAAACCATTACTTTCATATTATGAGCATTTTATAGCTCATTTTATGAGAAGGTTCACACGCCCTTCATTACTTTAATAAAAGTACAATATATAGAACATTCACCACATTAAATGTTTAAAAACTATTATATTCATAATATGAGCATGTTATAGTTCATTTTATGAGAAGGTTCACACCCGCTTCATTACTTTAATAAAAGTACAATATATAGAACATTCACTGTTTCGTTACATTCACTATCCAATGCACCGAACCAATATTCGTATCAAAAACCATGGCAGGAAATTCTCCTGTTTCTCACAATCAGTTTCAAAAGAAAAAAAAAAGATAGAGAAACATCCCCATTTTACAATGCATAAAATGTCAACATCATATGAAGTAAGAATTTGCATACAATGAAACAAGCCAGAAAGCATTTGATTAAAAATGCTTGATGATGCAGTTTCACATGTACGAGCACCTAGAGAGAAGATATACCTCATAGAGCCCTCCTTTTACAGGGACACCAACCCTCTCTTCATCGTCTGCATTAGTTTGGCCTTCTGTTGTTGTACTTGACGTCTTAGCAGAATTTGATTCGGGTCCAGAGGGACCGTCACTACATTCTGCATACTCCTTCCACCAGGCAGAAAGCAATTCTTCCTCCCTCTGTGTATGTAAGCAAGAAAAGTGCCAGTCATATCTAAGATAAAGGGAGCCCACATCTAAAACAGTTCCACTTATAACTAAGATAAAAGGGTTGTCCACATCCAAAACATTTCTTATTAAATAAGAATTCAAGAGAGAGAAAAAAAAACTTCTAGAGAATAAAAAAGGAGTTATAGAATAAAAAAGGAGTTGCAAAAACAAATCCTAAAATTCAAAGAATTGTGAATTTCAACTTTCAAGAAAGTGTGAAACTCAATAATGAAATTCAAAAAGTTTCTAATTAAGCTGAACTGAGTATTGAACACTGGAGTATGTTAAAGATGCTTTGGCTGGGTCCTATTACAAAGTAAACTTGAACAACCCAAGTAGCATGCTGATAAAAACATCCAGATCGAGGCACAAAAACAACTCATAACGATGATACCACAAGTACATTAAGTGTAAGAGTCTAGGCAACAAAATGTTCAACTACGTAAGGATCACAAAATGCCAATGCAATCGATTGTGAAATCAGCACTCTTGTGTTGTGAATAAAATTCCTAAGCAAGTGAAACGTGATAACCTGCAAGAAAGAAGCTTCTAATGCCAGAGAGTCCCTCATACTAAATCGGAAATATTCACTCTTTCCCACAATTTCTGTTCGAGGAATCGAGGCTGCTAACTCTGCAGAAAATTCAGAAAGAAGTTAACCAAACCATACAATAATCAATCTTGAAAAGATAATATGCAGGCAATTATTCCAGCAATTCATTTAGGCAAAAAGCAAAAATGTTTCAACTTATACAGGAACAAAAGATTCCCCCTATCAACCCCATCATTTTTGGGCTTCCTAATACTAACCATTCAGACTAGAGTCACTTGCCATAAATAGGTATTCAATTTCCTAATGAGCGTGGTCATTACCGGGATACAGAACAAATAGTAGATTATCTCTTCTGCATTGTTGCTTCACATGGAAGATAAATTATTGGACTTGTTAGGCCTGTATTTAGCACTGACCCCTATAGGAGCTTGTTGTAAAATGGTAAGTGGTCAATTAAAACTGTATATGTGAATTATTGTGGTGATGGAAGGCATAAAGGAAAAAGGATAAAATAATTTTTAAAAGCCACCAAAGGAAACATTAGAGGGGATGCGATTAGTTAGACCCCTACCAAAGACTAATGATGGCAGACATGTTTGAGGACCATATGGTGCCATTCCAGGCTTCAAAAGGGAAACACCTGGATGGACTAAAGAAGAGTTCTTCAAAAGGAAAATGGGCTCCATCCAGGATCATGGCTAGAGCAAAGACTGCATCGTGTTTTATGAGCTATTGGGACTGGCTATCTACTAGCTTTAAGGGTTGATTGATTCTTCATGGGCTCAGATGGACATATGCTTGGTATCCTTGATAACTTTAGGAGGCTCCTAGCATGCCAGCTTAATATCGTATGTCTTCAAAGAGCTCGTATCAATAAATTAGACTGAATTTTTGCAACGATTTTTTGCCTTGACTTGAGAAATTAAAGCTTTTCCTTAAGGTATACTTGAAAAAGTAAAGTTGTAAATGTATCATAACGTGAAAAGGGAAGGGAAATCGATGGCAAATGGCCTGGCTAACTCGTGTACTTCTACATTGCAGTCTGGGTTCAAGAGGTCGAGTCATTGTAGTTTATTTTGCTGCTCCCAGTGTTTCCATTTGCCTCGTTTCTTAATGAATATTTGTAGCCTACCAAAGCAAAAATAGAAATGGAAACATCAATAAATAGGCATCACTCAAGCTTGTTAGGAATACTTTGAGTAACATGTAAGAGTCCTCTTACCATTTGTTCGAAATGGAACCAGAGAAAAATGTTCTTCAGAAAGAAAAAAAAAAATCCAAACCACCCAAGATATGTGCGCATGCTTTGTACACATGCGCATGAACATACAATATTCTAGGTCAACCTTCAACACCATTGCACTTAAGCAAAATAATAATAGTAATATATTCAAGCATATAATATTTATACATGCAGCATACAAGTAGTTAATTCCTAGTTCCTGGTGTCTAAGCAAAGGCCAGATGGGCATGATTCTCATTAACTCCAATATATGCTCAGAGGATGGCATCTTATTAGAGAATTTCAAGCAAACAATTGTTGAATTCCAAGCAACACAAATGGAGTACAATTTTGGAGACAAACACAAGGATTTCAACCATAGGAGCCATCTCTCACCAAATGAAGCGTTCGAAGAAGATCAATTGTTGAAAAACAATGAATCAAATAATACAGCAAATTTAATTAAATTCAATAAAATAGAGCAAATTTAATTCGTTATCCACATTTAACTTGAGATAAATATTTTTACTATCAATCAATTTATGTAAAAATAAAATAAAAAACCAACTCATCAACAACTGCACTCAAATAACACCTAATTCAGCCAAATTCATTCCAAACTACAAAGCAACACTTACCATTCTCGGAAAGTGGAACTTTGCAAAAGTACCATCTAACGTCCTCCCCATCAGAAGGGCTCCTTGTCTGAGCGAGGTACTTCGTCCGAGCCTTGCAGTTCTCAATCACATCTTCAAGCTTTGCAATATTCGAAGGCGTGTTCTTCAAAGCATCGGGAAAAGTCTCTTCAAACTGAGCCTCGCCGCCAGTTTCATTTTCAGCAACCCTAACCCCCACATCACCAGAAACCCTAGAATTAGAAGCCCTGCTCCTTTCATCAACCGAAATGCCATTGTTTTCAGCACATCCAGGCTCCAAATTATCCATTTCCAAATCTTTACTGCCACCGATTCACAGTATAACGAAAAACCCTAATTCTCATCGACCCTAATTAACTTTTAGACAGACACCACCATTTTCAGAGGTTCCAGACTCAAAATGATCCGTTCCCAGTTCTAAATCTTCTGAAACACAGAATAATTAAAAAACCTGTTTGATTTGTTCATATGATATTTGAATTGGGGAAAACTACGATCCAATTGTGACGAATGACGTTTTTTGAGACCCTAAATTCGAAAACCATAGTCTTTTTCATGGTGCCGTTGCGTTTACAGGTAGGCGGTGGAATGGCCGGTGGAAACAGAGATGTCGTGCCAGAATCAAAGGGAAGGGAGCCAAATTTTTAAAATTCAAATGACCAAAATAACCCCTTATTTTCAGTGGTATTGCGATTCCCTGGTCTCAGCGTTGGGTTGGGTGGCGATATGGTGATGTCGAACGGCCACGTTGGCGGGTTACCCGAACCCTGTCCTAGTCCAGGTGTTTAAGCAAAATATACATAATATAATAAAAGTATAAAACAAATGTTTTTTTTTTTAATTTCTAAACCCTGGCTCAATTGACCGGGTGGGTCTGGTTCAGGTTAGGTTTCAATGACTTGGACACGACCTGAGTCTCTCTTTTTTCTTTTCTTTTTTTTTCTTTTTTTTTGACAATTAAGTCTCGAGCACAAACAAGTTACAGCAAGAACAAGTTAAAGAGATCAGTAGTATAAATCTAGTTAAGTGGTTCATCCAAACTGGATCCAAAGTCTATACATGGGTTTCGGATCCAATATGGATCTGAAAACTATACATAGGATCTTGATTAGGTCTCTTAAAAGTTTGAAAATTTATATATATATATATGAAAAAATTTATATAAAGTTCCAACCTTAAAATGTAGAATTACAGATGCACCTCAAAAATCCATTGAAAAATGTTGTTTTAAAGTTGAAAACTTAGACATCGAGATGCATGAATATGGCAAAAAAAAAGACTTTCAGCCTAAAAAATAATGCATTTTGCAATACATTATCTAGACCATCCATTTTCAAGATTTTCATATGTTTATAGATCTACTCGATTTTAACCATTTTTTTAATTTAAAATTTTATAATTAGATATGAAAATAGGTTTTGAGATAGTCCTAATAATCTTTTTCACCAAAATTACATGTTATGATACGATTTGGAGGTGCGCCTTAATTGGATTGTTTAAG